CAATTCTCCTGCCTCAGCCTCCCGAGTAGCTGGGACTACAGAGGCATGCACCACCATGCCCAGCTAATTTTCGTATTTTTAGTAGAGATGGGGTTTCACCTTGTTGACCAGGATGGTCTCGATCTCTTGACCTCGTGATCCACCTGCCTCGGCCTCCCAAAGTGCTGGGATTATAGACGTGAGCCACCGCGCCCGGCCTGAAATGATTTTTATAATTCCGAACAGGTTACCAAATGAAATGTCATGGCTTTACTTCGGTCAATCAAATGGGGGAGTTTTTTCACAAAACAAAACAAAACAAAAAACCATAAACCACAACAAATCACCCTTAAGTTTCCAATTTTACAGGAATCTAATATTTTTGAGGAACAATCTATACAACTCCAGCGAAAGAAGTGTGTTTCTTTCTGTCTCTGGCATACAATGTTGGCATCATCTCAAACATCACAAGCAAAGATGCATGCAAAATCAAATCATTCTAGCATGGGGAAAGAGATTATAGAAATACCCTAAGAGGAGAAAAAAGAAAGGGGGCAGTCAGCTGCTTCTGGATGCTGGGTAAGGATGTTTAAATACATCCCCTGAATCCTTGTCAATTGCCTATAATTAGAGAATAATTTTTGTATTATTTATACCTTCCCTTTTCAAATGCATAATCAATTCTGTAATTTTGGCTGAATGAGCAGTCAAAATCCAATTCGAATTTACTTGTTATAAATAAAGATGCCAGAAAGAAGGGCCATTTTATTTTTTAAGAAAACACTAATATGGTATCACTCTATGCTTTGCTTCTTTTATCATTTTTGGCACTTCGATTATAACTGCTGGAGGAAGCATGCTGTGTCATGATAGCTCTCTGGTCCCTTTAATAACTGGGATCACACCAATAATGAGGGCTGGTGAACCCTGAAATAGACCTCACCAAAGCAGAAAGGTGGTCAGTGATTTGACTCTTCTGGAAACATTAGATGATACATCTCTGATATGAATGAGAAATGCCTTTACTGTTTGGGCTCTGGTTGGCGCTGGCTTTGGAGTGACGGAACTTGTATTTGAATCCTTGTTTTAACATTTACAAGCTTTCTGTTAATGTGACAGCCAGTTAACCTCTCTGCACCTAGAATAATTAAACTGCAAAATCAGAATAATAATTCAGACTTCATAAAGTTGTCATGAATATTAAATGAGGATTTACACCAAAATGCTTGGATAAATCAGCTTGTAAAATTAAAATGCTGCTATGATTTTGCCTAAATTAATTTTACTATTTTGCATTCCTAATAGTATGCAAAGAAGCCCAGTGCCCTGGCTTCATTTCAAATTTCAGTTCAGAGGCTTATTTTATTGATTCCAAACATTGCTGCAAATATCTTATTTGAACTTTCTAGAAATGAGTTCTGCTGACTTCACTTGAGTTTCAAATCTAGCTATGTGATATTGGGAAGGTCACTTAAGATTCTTAATTTATTCAGATGAAAACGTGAGAGTTGGACCAGGTAATCTGCAAGGTCCTTTCCAGCATTAATTCTTATATCATGTAATCCCATAAATTACTTGGGTCATTTCTCCAATCGCTTTCTTCCTTATTGCTACCATCAATCAACTAAACGAAGTCTCTCCATTTGTTCTGAAAGTAAGGGAGTCAAAAATCCTAGTTACAATGCAAATATACAATATTAGATGGGTGGGATTGTTCAGAAGAGGGTATCTGTTGAAAAAGATGGAGAAACTGTAACAAAATATGTTAATAGAAATAAAATGTAGACAAATGTATAGATCACAAGATCCAGACAAAGCTGCAGACATATGGAACAATGGGCATAATTTCAGCTCCTGGTGGCAAGAGGGACACCTAGCACACGATGGGATTTTGATCAAGTAGCCTTAAGATTTCCCAGTGGCCCAGACATTCCTACCTTCACCTTTTGATGGTAATATTATAAAAGGTGTGAACGGCATGGAAATGGAAGTATCAACACTGTAGAGAAGAGACATTTGTCACATGGCTGGTCTACCCCAGAGGAGTCTGGAAATTATACCACACAAAGGATGAGCTCATGAGGGAAAGGATCTGTGTTTTGTATAAAATTATTGAATCGAGATTGCTCATGACTGAGAGCAGACCTGCTCTTTCTTCCTCTGGTTCCATGGTCACGGGTGTATAAAGAATCCCCTATCTGCGCCTATCTGTGTGCTCATGTTCCTGCTGTCTTGTTACCAGTGACTTCACTTCCTGGAGGTGTCCTGGGCTGAGAAAGTAAAAAGGCAGAATCTCGTGGCAACCCAAGTGGCCACTGCATAGATGTCCTCTCTGCTCTTGTTGTCACCTATGACAGTAGACAGTTAATATGGTGAAATGTCACATTGTTTTTCAAAAACCAAACTCAATTAGCCCTGGATCCCCAGTTTTGCTGAGGGAAAAATCAAAACCAAAACAAAACCCTTCTTACTCAAGAATTAAAAGTATCAGCCCTTTCCAGTTCAAACAATCTCTTTTCATTCTTAGTAATTAGTTAAGTCAGATTCAAGTTTAAAATGTGGTCTGTAACAGATTATTCCAGTCCCCTTTCTCAATCCAGTCTGCTGGTGTAGAAAATACATTGTATTTTTCTTGAGGGGCCACAATCATGTTGCCTTACTCATTAAACCCCACCTTGGTTGTCATTAGTGATTGTCATTCCTTGAACCTGGTCACCAGCTTAGACCCTGTATTAATCTGTTTTCATACTGCCATGAAGATACTACCCAAAACTGGGTAATTTATAAAGGAAGGAGGTTTAACTGATTCACAGCTCAATATGGTTGGGGAAGCCCAAGGAAACTTAACAGTCATGGTGAAGGCAAAGGGGAAGCAAGGACCTTCTTCATATGATGGTAGGACAGAGAAATGAGAGCAAAGTGGGAAAACCCCTTATAAAACCATCAGATCTCATGAGAACTCACTCACCATCACAAGAACGGCAGAGGAAAACCACCCCAATGATCCAATCACCTCCCTCTCTCAACATGTGGGAATTACAATTCAAGATGAGATTTGGGTGAGGACACAGAGCCAAACCATATCAGAGCCTTTACATCAATAAATGGAAAATAAATTTGATATTTCAAATAGCATCAGTATTATGCACCACAATTCTTATCAATCTGTTTGAATAAAGCCATATTTTGTTATGAATATTCAAGAAAATTAAGATGAGAAAGTAAAAAGTAGAAAGGGAAAGGGAAAGGAAAGTGAGCAGGGAACTTACTTTTGCCATTTCCATCTGCACACCTTGATTTATTACATCACGATTTATTAATAGCATTTTTCTTGGTTCAAATTTTTCACACCAATGAATAACCATATATATTTACATACATATTCTTAAATATGCAAGTATTTCTATAATTATTAGAAGTAGAATTGCTGGATCAAAGGGGCAAGTGCGTCTAAACTTTTAATAGATGATGTCTTTTTTCTGTCCAAATAAGGTATACCAATTCAGGTTTGCACAAATCGCATGAGCGTGTTGATTTCCTGCACTTACACCAGCACTGTACATTGTTTTCAAAATATTCGCTAATATAATAAGTAAATAGCAAATCAGTATTACTTTAGGTGCATTTGTTTGATTATTAGCAGGGTTGAAACTTGCATCAGCTACTTATTGGCCCTTTGTAAACTGTCTGCATATGGTGTTTGCCCATTTTTATATTCAGTCATTTGTCTTTTTCGTATTAATCTGTAGAAATGCTTTATTATGAATATCAATCTTCTGTCTGTGCTTTTTATTGCTAATAAAAATATCCTAGCCATTTGCTTCTGGTTTATTCATGTTTTAAATTACATAAATATTTTGAGCTCTTTTGTAGAAAATCTTTTTAAAAATCATTTTCTTTATGAAATTTAGTTTTTCTTAGAAAAGACTTTTCTGATCAAAATTATTTAAAGGAAAAATATAATCTTTTAGAATTATCATTATTCTTAGATTACTTATTTTTTAAGATTTGGTTGTAGTTTATCTAGATTATTTTTGTGTGTGGTGTGGAGTAGGGATCTATTTTTTCAGGCAGATAACTGGCCTCAAAATATTTACATTAATCTATTATTTTTCCTTCTAAGGCAACATGCTATTCTCGTGTACTAAATTCCCATATACATAAGGGGTTTATTTCAGGACCTCACTGCAAGGAGTTGGAGCAATTTGATAATGTGCAGAAATTCAATGAACTTACATGTAGAAATCACTTTATTTGGCAATGTCATTAAAATTAAAATAACATGCTTCATATCCTACAGTGTTTTATTTCCTTGGACTACTGAATATCCATGAGTATCTTAGGCCAGCTACCTAAAAGGCAGATTTCCCAGAGACAATCACAGATACTTAAGCTCCCCAGATTGAACCAGCAGGAGAGCAGCATGCAAACAGCTATTTTGAAAAAGTTGAGATATTTGTATTAGGTTTTGAGGAAGGTCAGAAAGCTCTTTCTCTCCCAGGTGCCCTGGATAGATTGGCATCTCATTTGCAGAAGGGGTACATTTGCAGGCCCAATTTTTATTTCTGGGTCTGCAGGTACACGTTGTGCCTGGACCCTCCACTCAAAACAGCGTGCTGAGGCTCTCTGATTCACACAACTTTTGAAGGTAGAAACTTACTAAGCCAGGCCTTTCAGACTTGGCTCCTCTAAATAAGGAACTGAGCAGATTGGGCTGTGACAGTGATGTCATCCAAGGCAAATGATTCTTTGACACACACAGATAAATGTCTCCTTAGAAACATACCCCTTAAAAAGCAAAAACCAGCCTCCAATTGAGGCATGTGCACAGTCAGCATAAGTTACAGGAATAGAGATAGTAAATTCATTTCTTTCTTTACCACTTACTGAGTCAGGCTTACAGAGAGCCCTGGATTAACAAGCATTGTATGACCAACAGAAGGCTTTTATGCTGCAAGATAAACATGTGCTTTTTCAGGTTATAGCATGTTCAGGATATCCTCCCCATTCAGGGAACTCACTCAGCAAGGATTTGCCACTTCCTGTTGACTCAGGGGACCACACCAACATACTTAGATTGATGACGAACTGGTTGCACCCAGGGGAAGACAGGATCCTGTGCAAAGGTGAAACGGGACCATGAATAACTATACCCTGTTCAACTGCAATTGTGTTTTCCTTGGTGAGAGCAAAGACATCAGAACCAATATGGAAGGCTACAAACTTCCACCTCCTGAAATCAACCCAGCCAGTGGAGCAAGCGAGTGTGTGTGTGTCTGTGGGTGTGTATGTTAAGAATGAAAAATGCAAACATATTACCAGTGATGACTTTGACTCTCCTTTAATCCCACACCCAGGTACTTACTTAGATTTCCTCAGACATCCACTAACCTAAGACTCTGCCCTGCCCAGTACAGAAGCCACTAGTAACATGTGGCTATGTAAATTTAAATGGATTAATATTAAGTAGAATTGAAAATTTTATTCTTCGGTCACACTGGTCATATTTTGAATACTCAGTAGCCACTTTTGGTCCATGGTTATGATAATGGAAAGCACAGATAGAGAACATGCCCACCGCTGCAGAAGGTTCTGTCAGGCAATACTGATTTCCTAAGACCGTATGTATTTTGGTCTCTATGGTGGGCCCTGTCTTCTAGAAGCATGCAGCCCAGTAGAGAGACAGACATTAACCAAAAACTCCCTCAAATAAATCAGCAATAATAGTTTGGGATAGTGCTACAAAGAAAGGTGCTGATTGCTTGTAGAAAATACTGCATGGAGTATTTTTCTTGCCTACATGATCCCAGACAACTGCTTTGAGGAGTGAAGCTAGAGAGAAGGCCTGAAGAATCCAAAAGAATCGTTTCCCACTAGAATCTGTGTATCTGTGACATGGTGCAGGATGGAATGGGGATAAAGGCATTCAACATGCAGAGAGAATAAGAAAGAGCAACAGAAAATCAGAGTCCAGAATGTCTCTGGGCTTTTCAGTCTCTGCTTTGTTTTCAACCTCAAACAGACTCTGCTGTCTGATTCATCTTGCCCCCTGATACATCCCCAGGCTTTCAACAGAAATCAGGTTTTACCCAAGGTATTAATAACTTAGACTGGGGAAAAACAAGCACTTTTAATTCCCAAAATCTAAATTAATTAAGACTGCCATCCTCTGCACATCTCTAGGAAAATGTCAGGTTCAATTTGCCAACTGCCATCCTAGCTGAGGAGGAGAGGAGAGGGCAGTGCTCTTTGGCATGCAGATCCAGGTGAACAGAGAGAGAGAACCATGGCGTCTACAGTGACCTACGGTACACAGAGGAAGGAAGGGAAACATTAGGAAAAATCTGGTTCCTCCTGGGCAGAGGGAAGTAAGAACAGGAGAAAGGAAGCCAAATGCAAGTGAAATTAAAGAGAATATTTGTAATGGGGCTCTAAAATTGGGCTGAGCTGGAAGAGTTTTCATATGAACATTATTTGTGAAATTATCTTATGATTTACATGTTTCCTCTTTCAACAGATGTTTTGGGGAAAAAATTGTAAAGGAAAGCCAAGATTTATAACAAAATTTCCAAATAATATGCTAGTTTGCTTAACGGAAAGAATAAAAACAAGGGTAGAACTGAATGTTTAATTTTAATACACGAAAGGCTCAAGTTGGAAAACAGCTACTATTTAATGTTCCTTTCAAAAGTAGTCGTATGAAAATGAACATTAAGCTTGCTGTTCTAATGATAGAAACAAACAAAATGATTAAAAGAAGATTCTTAAAGTAATCCCAAACTTTGTTTTAATCATTGGTTTAGGAGAAATTTACACAAGGAATTGTTGAGAAAAGGAAGAAGCAGATAAAAATGTGTGTCATTTTTAAAAAGCAAACTATGAGAAAAACCTACAAAAGCAAGTAGAAAGATTGCAAAAGATAGGTATCAGTTCAGGGCAATATGTAAAATACAATTCTATTTTGGTAAATATCAAACAAACAGAAGCCATATATTGCGTATGTTTGTGTAATTGGCTTATCAGTTATTTCTCTTTTATTGCATTTCCCATATTATATTGAGTTAGGTATTTATAGTTTTTGTTTCTGTGAAATCAGGTTTCTGCTCTCATCTCTGTATTTCCACTACCCAGTGAAAATCTCAGACACACAGGAAACATGGAATAAATTGTTGTTGCATAAACAATACCAACTAGACCAAATGGCATGAGAGGGGGAAAGCTACATGGGAAAGAACAGGAAAGCACATGGCTTAGGGTCAGAAAACAGTGACTAGGACATGAAGGGAGGTGGCGTGAGGTTGTAAAGGTTCTTTCTGTGACTCAGATTCTACAACCAGTCAGTCTGCAGGACTGACTACATAATCTGCAGAGCTCAGTGCAAAACAGTGACTACAGAACAACAAACCAGGTATGGGCCCTTCTAAGCACCGAGGTCCCATGCAAGTGCTCACGTGATATGCCTGTGGAGCCAGGCCTGAAGACAGCCACCAAAGGTCCCTGGTAGACTTTAAACAAGGGCAAGCTGATAAGATTTAAGAAAGATCTTTAAGAAAAATCACTGCAGGCCGGACAAACTCATGCTTATAATCCTAGTACTTTGGGAGGCTAAGGTGGGAGGATGATCATTTGAGTTCAGGAGTTTGAGACCAGCCTAGGCAAAAGAGCACAATGTTCTCTCTCCTAAAAATAAACAAAATAAGCCAGGCATGATGGCATGTGCCTGCAGTTCCACCACTCAGGAGACTGAGGTGGGAGGATCACTTGTGTCCAGGAGTTAGAGGCCACAGTGAACTGTGACGGTGCCACTGAACTCTAGCCTGGGTGACAGAGTGACTCTGTCTCAAAAAATAATAACAATATAAATAAATATAACTACAGATGCATTATAGATCATTGTTAGCAGGAGGCTTGGAAAAGCCTCTTAGAAGAAAATTGCACTAGCGATAACGATTAAAAGCCTGAACAAACCAGTCAGTAGCAAAGGAGCTGGAGAAGTACAGAAGGCTGCAAGAGAAAGCTAAGGAACTAAGACTAGTTAGGCAAATTGCACTGTGATGGGGATTTGGGAGGAAAGTTAGGGCCAGAGGAAAATAAGGACAACCAAGTGCAAGTGAAATTAATCACAGAGAACACTTGTAACATGGCTCCAAAAGGGACAGGAAAAAGAACACTTGCAAGTTTCTTCCTCTGGCAGCCAGGTAAGTGAAGGCCCAGTGGAGCCAGCCCACAGCTAGTATGCTCTTGAGAACAATAATGAGATGTAGAAACAGTGGCATGGATGTTGTCATGAAAGTGTAGAGATAAAGTATTAACAAGCTTGGAGGAGACAAACCAATTTCTTCAAAGAACCTGGGAGAAAAACAGGAATTTTCCTATGGCAAAACTGGCACCTGTGCTGCCTCTCAAAATGCTACTGACTTTTGTATAAAGTGTGGTGCAGGGACAAGAGGCCAGGAGTATGGTCAGGCTTGCAGCGAGGAACAGGGTATGCGGAAGAAACTGCTGGTGTCCTGGATCACAGCACTTCTGTGAGCCGCGTGAGTCTTGTTTCTAGGTGATCAAAGTGGGGCATAAGGAAGTGAAGTGAATTTTCCAAGTCACAAAGAGAACTAGAAAATAATGTTGCCAGACTCCTTATCCAGGGTTTTCTCCAGCAGACCACACTTTCTTAATAAAAAATCTTCTGTTATTTAGGCTGTGTTAGTAACCGATTGAATTGTCAAACTGGCAAATTCAACAGGATAGGTGCCAGGCATTAGGACCACCAAGAATCTGAACGGTAAAGAGCTGGAAATGAGCTGAGCTCCAGAGTTAACTTACTCAGGGTAACAACAGGCTTCTGCCAAAGCCTTGCCTCCTGACTTTTTTAATCAAGGTGAATCACTGAGCCAAATTCATTGCACAAGTGCTTACAAACCCATGGAAAGATTTTTCTCAAGTTATGCATGAATGCTCAGTATTGTCATGAGAAAGCGCTCGTTGCAACATCTGCCTCTTTCTTGTTGATGAGCAGCTGTAGATGACAGAAACATAACACTCAAGAAGTTTCTGTTCCTCAGTCTCTCCAGTCCGTTCTGGTTTAAAATGATTACACAGCAATTTCACATAACAAGAGCCAGTTGAATGGGAAAAACGAATGGTTTTATTTCTCAAATCAGTTTCATTAAGGATTACTCAAAGCATCATCTCATCTATCTTTGCACAGTTTTATGTTCATTAAAGGCTGGAAGTGGGAAGTCATTTTTTATAAGGCTGATCTTTAACTAGTTGGCAATGGAATTGTTAACATTAGTGCATCCTGGAAAGCTGGACATCCATTATCTGAGCCCTCTAGTCTTGGCTGCCCTGTGTTTCCATTCATCATAGCAACCCCTTGGATTGCCCAGCTGTTGCTGCTCCAGAGGCCTTCACAATGGAATCCCAGACCCTGAGCAAGAAACGACCAAGGCAACTGCTTCCCAGGATCTTTCAGAAGGAGCCACAAAGCCCCTGTTTCTGAGAGGAGATACCTGTTACTAGGATGACCCATATCATCCACACACTTCTTATCATGTCCTGGAACACTCTGGAGGGTACAAGAAGATTTTATTCATAAATGCATCAAGTCAGCAGATATAAATTAAACCTGAAAGAGAAAAACTAAGATGTATGTTCACTCTACCTCTTATCAATGTGGTATCAAAGATGAGCATGCAAACCTTTCCACCGGGATAGACACCTTGTATCATACATGCAAAATATGTTATATGTGTGTGTATATATATATATGCACATGTATATGTGAGACAGGCTATATGTGTTCAATTGATGTTTATGAATATATGTTCATTGGAGATAGAAATAAAATATATCAGTCATCTGACAAAAGAATCTTTCTTTTTTTTGAGACAGTGTCTTACTTTGTTGCCTAGGCTGGGGTGCAGTGGTGAGATCACAGTTCACTGCAGCCTCAGCCTCCTGGCTCAAGCCATCCTCCCACATCAACTCCCCAAGCAACAGAATCTTATGTTGCTGGTTTTTTGCTCCATAAGTTTGATTTAGTTGACTCTCAAAGAGAGTTCTTTGACTAAAACTCTCAAAGAGCAAAGGCATGACTTAAGTTCCAGGAAGAAATTACCCTAGCAAGGAAAAATGTCTTACACTAGCTCATTCCATTTATTATATCTAAAATTAAATACTATTGAATAAATAAATGAGATGATCAGTTAATTTCACAAAATACCCATCTGGTTGCCTCTGATGTTCTCAAAATGTTATGCCAAAGAACCAACTGGCAGTGATAGTAATTATGAGTACTTCAGTGTAGGAGAGGGAGAAGAAAATGGCCATTTTAACATTTTCTATATGCCAGGCAGTATTTAAGACTCTTTTTATATAAGCTCTCAATTTTGATCCTCAAAACAATCCTGTTAGAGAGGTATTGTCATCCTGATCTCACAATTGAGAAAACAAAGGTTCAAGTTAGTTAAGAAACTAAACAGAGCAATTATGTGATTGAAATACGACCAAGGCAACATACATCTTAGTTTTTCTATAGATTGCCATGATTATAATGTCCAAATCCCTGTCCTTTGTTTGTTTGTTTGTTTTAGTTTTTTAGACAGAGTCTCACTTTGACACCTAGGCTGGAATGCAGTGGTGCAATCTCAGCTCACTGCAACCTCTGCTTCCCAGGTTCAAGTTATTCTCCTGCCTCAGCCTCCCACGTAGCTGGGACTACAGGTGTGCATCACCACACCTGGCTAATTTTTGCATTTTTAGTGGAGATGGGGTTTCACCATGTTGGCCAGGCTGGTCTTGAACTCCTGACCTCAAGTTATTCATCCCCCTAGGCCTCCCAAAGTGCTGGAATTATAGGCATGAGCTACCACGTGCAGCCCCTTTTTTCTTTTCCATAATGAATATTTACAACTGTGTATTGATTGCCAAAGGTTAATTTCTTTACATTTCTAGAGAATTAAAAATAATGCAAAATAGGCATATTAGTCCATTCTCATGCAACTAATAAAGACATAGCCGAGACTGGGTAATTTACAAAGGAAAGAGGTTTAATGGACTCACAGTTCCACATGGCTGGGGAGGCCTCACAATCATGGTGGAAGGAGAAAGAAGAGCAAAGGCATGTCTTACATGGTGACAGGCAAGAGAGCCTGTGCAGGGAAACTGCCCTTTATAAAACCATTGGATCTTATGAGACTTACTCTCTATCAAAAGAACAGCACAGGAAAAACCTGCCCCATGATTCAGTTACCTCCCACTTGGTCCCTCCCACAACATGTGGGAAATATGGGAGTTACGATTCAAGATGAAATTTCGGTGGGACACAGCCAAACCATAACAATAGGTAAGGGTATTAAGTTTATAGGAAGATAAAAATCAATTAAAATGCTTTATATAAAAATAAAAGAAAAAACTACTCATTATGTTAGGATTTCTTTATTCTTTTTTCTGTTTTTTAGACAGTATCTTGCTCTGTTGCCCAGGCTGGAGTGCAGTAGTACAATCACATCTCACTGCAACCTCCAGCTTTTGGACTCAAGGGATCATTCCACCTCAACCTCCCCAGAAGCGGGGACTGTAGACTAGAGGCATATGCCACTATGCTGGGCTAATTTTTACATTTCTATAAAGACAAGGTCTTGCCAGTTGCCCACGCTGATCTTAAACTCCTGGGCTCAAGCAATCTGCCCACTGTGGCCTTCCAAAGTACTGGAGTTACAGGCATGAGCCACTATCTCCAGCCTACATTAGGGTCTTAAAGACATGTCTGTCTCACTCTTATTATAGTGTTATTCATCAGAGTATGTTAGGTGTGAGTTCCCTGTGCTTTGCGGTGTCACTCATGGGCCCTGTTCTTCTGAGAGTGCCATTCCTGTACATCAGATCAATGAGAAAAATCATTTTCACAGCTCAAGAAATCTACTAATGAGTGAAAGATGAGATGAGTAGCCTTTTGAGAACCAAAATTAAAATGGTCTCAACAGTATCCCCGTGGACTTCTAAAACACCTTTAGTAAAAGCAGCTAGAATTTCACTCTGCCTCAAAAGCTTTTGTTCTATCCCCTCAAGAACTATAAACTTATTATTTTTTTATTATTTACTATTAGTACCAAATATAAGAGTCCTGAAAATACTAAAAAACAAAAACCCTTTATTTCCTTACTTTCCCTTTTCAAATTCCTTTTTCAAATGTGTTTTGGGCTCAGTATTCCTTAGGCACACTTCTTTATAGTTACTTATTGAAATGAGTGTTTCTTTGTGACGGTCTCTAGCCATGAATGCCCAAGACCACTAAGATTTAAGGCATGTTGCTGATTGGAAGTTCCCCTGAGTACCATTGCTTGCCCTTTCCTTATCGATTGTAAACCCAGGGGAGGGAGACAGGGAAGCGGCAATGTCAGAAGTAGCTGATATTTTGCACGGAGCTAAAGCCTTCTGCTCATTATTTCTCCTATAGAAAGCAGGAAGCCATTGAAATCCATCCCTAATGTGTCCCAAGTGTCCACCTGCTGAGGGCAGGATTGCCCAAGCAACAATCTTTTGCTCATGAAGCCTCACATGCAATGTCCCAGGGTATCAGTTGGCCCAGAGACAGTCTCTTCCTACATACCATGTGGCAGATTAGAAGATAAGGGGCCGTGACACCCACAGTCCTGAGTTTCAATTGCAGTTCTGTATTTTAGTTCTATATTTTATTAGTAATTAGTATCCTAATTAACTGGGAAGGTTAGATTCATTGAGCCTCTCTTTTGTGAAATGGAATATTCATATACAACTGGAGAAAAATCACCCTCCCCCCCAAAAAAAAACCATTGCTACTTAATACAAAAACCTACCTGCAGGTGTTTCTGCTTGGTGTGGTTGACAGAATAACCACTCACTATCTACACCAAAACAAACACCCCAAATCCATGGAAATATTAAAGAGAATGCTGGAATCTCTGCGCAGATGAGCCACCTAGCCCCACATATGAAAGGGCACAGGACTTGAGGACAGCTGAGTGACACTCCTCACAGGGTGACAGCAAGAAGTAAGTGACTTAGCACAGAGGAAGCCTCTGGCTCACAGCCTTGTCCTTTCCTCAGACCTTTCTCTGTCTCTCCCTTGCCTCTTTGCACCCCTCATTGCCTCCCTTTCCTAGGCTCAAATGCCTAAGGAGAATAAAAATGCTCGACCAATTAATTTCTGATTTTCTAATCATCTACTGGACTATTGGCCTCTTCTTGAATATGCTGTGAAGACAAATTTATTTCTCCCATCTTCAAAGAAGTATTGGATTAATTGCAGATCTATAAGAGTATGACCTAGTTTATAAAATTTGCAGAAAACTTCTTCATATTTTAAGGAAGGTTATTGACAGATGACAAATAATGAAGAGTTGTCCCTCTCCTCACAGTTTGCAATGAGTTTTCTCATCCTTCCAACCTCCCTAATGTGATTTGATTCTTACAAGAACCCCAGTGATACCGTATTCTTGGTGAATCTCAGCCCTAGGTCCTTGCATGCAGCTTTCGCTCCACTGCAATTGACATGGCATGTGTTTCCAGATCTGCTCCACTTTTAGGTCATATCCATTAGCGTCTCTAGCTCAATGGAAAACTAGAATTGAGTACGAAATGAGACAAAAACAAAAATCAAGTAAAATGCTATGCATCTGAAGGGTCTCCATTTGCCTTTCTGAGCGCCACATATAAACAGATCACATTTTCTCCTCTCTCTCCACCTCTGGTATGCTTATGTGTCTGGCAATGCTGGGTCAGTCCACAATGAGTCTAACTGTGGGCATGAAATGGTGAGGCAGTGATTCTGAGGAAGTGCTCCTCCCTGTTAAACCTCTGGGAAAATACATCAGAATTTCCTGTTTGAGATCAATGGCTTTATTTCCAAGGTTTTTCTGTCTTCTAGAGGTACGAGTTCACCCCATCACATGAAATCTGCAATGGTTCCACAGGCATCCACAATCATCAATTCAGAGTTAAGCTCTTGACTGGAGAAACCAAAGAAGCAGGAGGCCCTTTGGTAGTCTCAGAGAGCTCCAGATCTGGTTAGCATAAGAAGGCAAGCAACTAAACATTTCACAGCTGTGCAAAAATCAAAGAACTCTTCTAGATGACAGAGAAGATGCCACAAGGTTTTTAAACATCTCATCTTGCTAAGCTAAAGAGAAACTGCAAAATGTATGTCCCTTGTGCCACTTAAGTCAATGTCTTTGAACTAGTTGTTTTTCAGTTAAGGGAAAATGAAGAGTACCTGGCTCCACATGCAGTTGTGAACTCCTTTCTGACCTTGGCCCACTAATTTCAGCATGCGTGGGGTGGCCTTGGCTTTTCCATCTAAAAGCAGGAAAATGCTGATGACCATTTGCGATGGTCGTTCTGTCCTCTGCCTGAGCATACAAAGGCATTAATCCCATCTCAATGGATTTGAATTCTCTAGAATAGTTCAATGATCTGGTAATGGGAGCAGCTTTATCCCCAAATGAGTTTTTCTTAAGAAACTTTCTTCATCCAAGTTCATCAAAAAATAGGAATGTAAATTAGTAGAACCTCTGTGGAAAACAGAATGACAATTTCTCAAATAACAAACAGATCTACCATCTGATCCAGCAATCCCACTACAGGGTATATACCCAAAGGAAAAAAAGTCACTATGTGAAAAAGATATCTGTACTTGTATGTTTACTGCAGCACTATTTACAATAGCAAAGTTATGGAATCAACCCAAGTGTTCATCAGCAGATAACTGAATAAAGAAAATGTGATATCTCTCTATCTACCCACATACATACCCTGAAATACTACTCAGCCATAAAAAAATGAAATTGTATCTTTTATAGCAACACTGATAGAACTGGAGGTCATTATCTTACATGAAATAGCTCAGAAACAGAAAGTCAAATACCACATGTTCTTACTTATAAGTGGTAGCTAAATAATGTGTACACTTGGACCTAGAGAGTAGAATAATAGGCACTGGAGACACAGAAAGCGGGGAGGGTGTCCGGTGGTGACAGATGAGAAATTATCTAACGAGCACCATGTACCCTATTCAGGTGATGGTTACACTAAAAGCCCAAATGTCACCAAAATACAATATATCCATGTAGCAAAACTGTACTTGTACTCTCTAAATCTTTAGAAATAAAACAAAAATGCATTCATTAAGTTTTAAAAAGGTAGATAGATAGTAATTCAGGCCATATACTTACGTTTTAGGCAAAACCAAGGATGTTTATGAAAACTGAAAAGAGCTGCGCTACAAACAGTTGTCACGGAGGAAGCCAGAAAGGAAGAGCAGAAGGAGGGGAAGAGAATGACAGATTAACATGTCCCTCTAGAATTGTACCTCTCTCTACCCCAAACACACCGTGACCACCCTCATGCATGCAGGACTATGTATATGAATGTCTGAGTATAACTGATGGGTCTGCATGTAGTGGTATGTATGCGGGACGAGGGAGAACATGTAATTGTACACAAGAGTGGGGTATGTGGGATGTGTACAGATGTGCAAGGTGTATGTTTATGAAGGATGTGAGGGATATATGAATAAGGGGTGGGGGCTGTGGAGATGGAGTGAGATTAGAGAGAGAATATGTACGAGGGTATGTGGGCTTTGTGTGTAAAATACAGAGGGGGTGTGTGTTCAGGGTCATAGATGTGGGTGTGTGCACATCAGATAAGAGGTGTGCGCATGGAGCTATGTGTGCATACGGGGTATATGTATAATGTGAGGGTGTGTGTCTAGGGACTGCAGGTGGGTATGGTGTATAAAAGCAGGATGGAGTGTCTGCGCAATCAAAGTGATATGTGAGACTCTCTGAATAGCAAATCAAGCTCTTCTTTTAGCTCAGTGCCCTCAATGCAAGAGTGACTGCTTGCAGAGATGACTTCTTACAGAGAAATTCTCAGAGATACAAACCTCTCAGCATTCAATACCCTGGGGCTTCTGAATCTCAGCTACACGTGGAATTTCATACCTGTGTCTCCTTTGCTGTCTCCCCTGGGACTCAGGGGACTGATTTGCTGTGATTTATGAGGTTATAGACCTTCATTTCCCCACAGAACTGATTGGGGGAAAATATCTCTGGGTTAGAATGTCTGCTGATAAATCATCGTGATCATCACCCTCACTGTCATCCTTCCCATGTATAGCACTTGGCAGTTTTCAAAATACATCCTCATACATCATCTCATTGCACTGCCATATAGCGATGAAGCTAACAATGCCTTGTTCTTTTTGAAAGGCTAATTCTATAGCATAAAATCCAGCTGGCTGATAGATTCATGCTAGTCAAGAAAAGACTGTCCACAATTATCCCAAGGAGAACTCAAGACCTTCAAATCGAACATACAACCTCCATTTCTTGACCAAAGCTTCAATCTACTCACAGATCTTGTGTGTTCTACCCTTGCATGAAAACTTAAAACAGCTTCAATTTCTGTACCTCTTCTATTACCCCACTAAAGTGCAAAATTGCAAATCCATAACACTTCTCTGGATGGCCAAGTAGATAAATATTACTTTTTTTGCTGTCAGTATGAAGACAGACTAAGTTGCCATACTGCTAATGATGATAATACTAACAATGCCATGCCTCCATTTTCCTGGATGGAACCCCACAGAGAACAATTTGTTCCATCATTTGTCTCAGGGATATAGCAGAAATTTTTATACACATCCACATTTCCCATTTTACTAAACTTCATTCCCAGGAAAGCAAAACTGGAATTTCTCAAGATCAGCAAAACAGCGGCAATGGAGTCATTTGCATGCAAAGGTATTGCCAGTGCGCCACACCTTTGATATTGAAGGCGGAGTTCAGTCTCTTTGGAGAAGGGACCCAATGGAATCTCGTGGTTTCACATGGTATTTTCTTCAAAGACAGGAGAAAGGATCATGTCTGTGAGAGGTGTCCACTGCCTCTATTTGTGCAGTGAACTTTTCTGAGACTGTAGTGGAGTAAAAAGGTAGGAGTTTATTCAAACACACAGAATTCGGTTCTCATTTTTTATGGCCCTGTAAGATATGTATCCTTCTGAATGAGTAGAGGTCACACGTATCCCCATAACCTGCATCTCACTCCACCCAAGTCTTCACTGGAAGGAGAGCAGCTCTGATACTTGGAGTCAAAGTGTTTATTTTGTAGACCCAATGCAGCTGCTGGCAAGCAAAATGTGGGCACAAAATGCACCAGAGCCCATCCATTCATGCCATCCATTCATTCATTCAGCCCTCAGCAAGCCTTTGTTGAGAGCCTGCAATGGTCAAGCATGGTTCTCAGAGTATGGAATCCAGAGATGACTCTACCAGACTCCACACACTCAAGGTCACAGTCTACAGACAATTCCACCAACAACTAACAAGAAGAAGTAAGTGCTTCAAAGGCAGCCGAAGGAGCAAAGCTGGGGGCACTGGGTAGTGCCTTCATGGGGGCAGGGAAGGCCAGAGAGCTGAAGGCCCCCTGAAGTCATGATATTTGAGCTGAGTCATGAAAGACAAGCAGAGGCTGTCCTGGCAGATGGTGACAATTCTCCATCTGTAGAGTATGTGCTTCTAGAATATCTACTTATGTGATCACCAGAGCGGGAAGGGGCTAGGGAATGTTTCTCAGAGGAATCAATGACAGCCCTGGCTTTGCAATGTCTCTTTGTAGACCTCTTAGAAAAGGCTACATCACACATACACACACACACACACACACACACAAAGAATGTGCTTTGCTTCTTCTTCCTAGAAAGCAGACAGCAATATCGTGGGGAAAATGAGGCAAGATTTAATCTGCTCTTTGAAAAAAAATAATTTGTTTTGGTCTATTGGTGTGCATTCCAAGGGCGTACAGCTGCATAATTCATGTTAGATTTTCCTGGGAAACAAAATCACCTAAAGTCTCTGTGAAATCTTGCAGTGCATTACATTACTTTCCAAGGGATTAAGCACCATCCTGTTTGCAGGGCCACACATCCTGTCAGTTCCACATTTTGTATCTGTTATTAAACTCACTATCCTGTGCCAGCTACAATTCTAAACAGACACAGACCTACTTCAGATTTAGTGTGGATGACAGATATGCAGCAGCAAACTGCCATGAAGAGTACAGAAACACAGAAATACATGGGAATAAGGCATAACTGGTTATCAAGAGTTTTACTCATAACAATCGTAACATATTGTTACTTCTTAATTCGAAAAGATGACATCAATGTCAAACTTCCCTATGCTTGCCTGCACCCAACTAAACCCTGTCACTCTTCAAAGGCCAACTTATGTTCTCTTTTGCTTTTTTCTTTCTTTTTTTCTTTCTTTCTTTTTTTTTTGAGACAGAGTTTCGCTCTTGTTACCGAGGCTGGAGTGCAATGATGCAATCTGGGCTCACTGCAACCTCCGCCGAGACAGAGTCTTGCTCTGTTGCCCAGGCTGGAGTTCAGTGGTGCAATCTCAGCTCACTGCAACCTCTGCCACCTGGGTTCAAGCGATTCTCCTGCCTCAGTTTCCAAAGTACTTCAATTACAGGTGTGTGCCACCACACCCAGCTATTTTTTGTATTTTTAGTAGAGACAGCATTTTGCCATGTTGGCCAGGATGCTCTCGATCTCCTGACCTCATGATCCGCTCAGCTTAGCCTCCCCAAGTGCTGGGATTACAGACGTGAGCCACTGCACAGGGCCTCAACAGGCCCTTAATCCCTTTTTTTCCTAAATGCTCACAATACTGAAAATGTGTCATGCCAAGTCAGCACTAAGTTACATTCTCTTTATTATTGTTGCCTATAAGATGTTACTTTGACCTCGCAAATACATTTTAAGCTCCCGAGAAAACAAAAACAAAACTATATTTTATAAAGCATCTGTATACCACATGCTATTAAGAATTGTTCCTCCTTCCTTATTTCAATTTTTTTATTTTTAATTTTGTGAATATATAATAGGTATATATAGGCATAGGGTACATGGATGTTTTGATATATGCATGTAATGCATAATAATCACATCATGGAGAATGGGGTATCCATTCCCTCAAGCATTTATGCTTTGTGTTATAAACAATCTAATTATATACTTTATATTAAATATAAAATTAAATTATTAACTCTTGTCACCCTGTTGTACTATAAATACTAGGTCTTACTCATCCTTTCTCACTAATTTTTTTACCTATTAATCACCCCCACCTTTCTGACTTCTAATGCCCTATATTTCTATCTGGCTATTGGAGTTCCCCCAAACAGATGTTCAAAGAAAACCAGAACCTAAATACACCTAACACTGAAACCATCTTTCAACCCCAAGTCCTCCTTATTGGCTGCCTTATCTCCTTGAAATTATGACTTTTCTTTCTGTTAACCTGCCCATGCTGACATAAGTGATATCATCATCTCTTTCTCTCCCCCCGTCTCTCACATTCCATGATTAATGCCACTGCATTGGTTGTGACCCTTGTAATCTCCCATCAATTCAACCACAGCACCTTCTAATGAATCTCCACTTAACCCTTCCTGTCCAAATCCAGCCACTCATACAACTCAGTCATATTAAAATTCATGTAAATCATGTGAATGATGTCACTCCTCATGTAAATGTCTTCACCTGGGGTAAAAAACCCTGGAAAAACTGATGCCTACCGTTCTAGCCATGTATTTTACTACTTCTCACCATAATTCCCTTTATTCTAGCAAAGCTATTTCTGCTGCCTAAACCTTTCCAAACCACAACTTAGCCCTGGCTATTATTTCACATTTTAAAACTTTTCTTTAACTATCATAATCTGGCTCCGTCTTCAAGGTATATTCAATATACCACATAATCTATGAACTTTTCCTAATTGAACTCCATCAGGAATTAGACATTGTGTTCTTTTCTGAGGGCATTTATAATTCAAGGTGATTTTATAATGCACTCAATATATTAAGGCACTGTGCTAACTATTGGAGGTTCCATCTAAAAAGTTCAGTTTTCATGGAGTTAGAATTCTAAAGCATATATTAATCAATTAATATTATTAAAAATGTTCTCAATGTGAAAAAATTCATGACTCTTTATAGTGAAAAGCACACTGAATAATAAGAAAACAAATTTATAAGTAGCTCAGGTGAAAAATATCCTAGTAAAACTTTGGAATTCCATGGGTAACAATAAAAGTATATAATTTTTAAAGATAAAACAGAAGCCCCTTCAGAAGAAATCAGCTTATACTTGGCTTTCCATCAATGTTACTAGACAATTGCTACAAATATGTTTGAAGTTTCAAGGGTAAATTGTTGGACCCATGAATTCTATATGAAAATGACCATGTACATAAAAGGAGATTTTAAAACAGAAACTATATTTCGGTCATACAGGAATGTAGATGGCTTATCAAACCAAGCCTGCTCAGAATCACTCAATAATACACTGCAGAGATATAAAAAAATTAATCACAGAATACAAGTGATGGAATACTCTCAAAAAAGTAATGATGGTTATTTCTAAACAATAGTTGACACATTCTCTTTAACAATTGATGAAAATATTTTCACAAAATGTGAGAATAAAAGACATGGTATTTTAAAATTCTTTCAGTAGGTTAAGAGAAGTACAATGACTAAATGATTACAGCAAAATAAGAGTTTTTAAACGTGCATTTAAACATACTAAGTACCAAAATAGATATTGAATCATAATTTCAAGCTAGAAGAGCAAGCTGGAACGAAGAAAACTCATTCAACTTCAACATATACACAAAACCAATAAATATGAGGAAAGAAAATAAGAAAGCATTGAATAGGCCAAGCATAAAATTTGAGGCCAGTAACAATAAATGTAAATGATATAAACTTTCTTATTAAAAAAGAACTATCAGAAAATGTTTTAAAAGGGTTAAAGAAAAATATAGTTTTATGATCTTAATGAGAGACATATCTAAACTAGAATGACATACAAAAATTAAAAATTATAAAGATGGAAGAAGATACACCAAGTAAAATGGAAAAATTGAACAAAAGGAAAATGGAAATGGTGAAACTTCAAGTGAAGCCAAAATTGTATAAAGTCAAAAGCAAAATCTGGAGCAAAGAGATATTTTGTAATGATAAAGTGTAAAATCCAAAACAATGTTACAATATCCTTAAACTTTATGTAATTCACAATATAAAATCAAAATATTTAAGGTAAAATTTTTGAAATGAAAGAGAAACTGAAAAGTCTAGATTTGAAAATTCTTCCCTCAGTAAAAGTACATTTAAAAATATATAAATAGGCCAGGTGTGGTGGCTCATAATTCCAGCACTTTGTGAGCCCGAGGTGGATGGATCATGAGGTCAAGAGTTCAAAACCAGCCTGGCTAATATGGTGAAACCCTATCTCTACTGAAAATACAAAAATTAGTGGGCATTGTGGTGTCCCACAACTGATAATGAGGCCCAAAAAAAGAACCTCAAAAATCCCAAAAGACTATATTCACTGAGTCCAAAGTTAATAACAATAAATGGATAACCAAAAATGCATCAAGTCATTTAAAAATTAGAAACAAAGAACAAAAACATTTAATAAGCCTTTTGGTAAAAGAAGAAAACAAAAATAAAATGACATACTTAGAAATAAATGACCGTGAAGGCAGTACATGTATAATTCAGATGTGGCCAAATCGTCCTTCAGAGTAACTACTGTGGGCTCTGTTTTGGGCTTAAAACAGAAAAATAGAGTAAATGTTCTAACTTTGAACTAGTTGATATAAAGTGAGTAAGACTAGAGTAAGAATTATAAATTCAACACCAGCAGCTAGAAAAATGAACAGTAAATTGAACCTAAGGATAGTAAAAGAAATATATTAATAATTATTAAAACTTAGTTTAACAAAATAAGAAAGAAAAACACTTGTCTAATAAAACTAAGAGCTTCTTTTTTGGGGGAAAAAAACCCTCCTTTTTGTCCCCAAAATGACCCAAAACATGAAAACATAAGTAAATATGAAAAATCTGAAGTTTTTTTTTAATATGAAAAATAGCAAGTACAATATTTCAACAATAAATTTAAAATTTACATAAAACCAGCTAAATAGAAATAGGACATGTAATAAGTCAGAAAAGGAAGCCTCAATAAAGTTAAATAGACATCATACATACTATATTCTCTGATTTTATTCAATAAATTAAAAGTAAGTAACAAATAGAATGCTAATACAAATGCTACATTACAAATACCTGGGACAGAGCTGAAGCAAAATTACAGGAAAATGTGTAGATATTAAAAATTCCACCATGGCATCTAAAAGAGAACTGAAGAAAATCAACAATCTCATGATTCTGAAAACTATTTGAAGTGATGAGAAGGATCCTTTCTACCAGATGTCAAAAAATACTGAAAAGTCTTATAACTGAAATAATGTTAGATAGGTTTATCTATAAATGGAGAGAGGAGTGCTGCAGTTTGAAATATAAAAGTCTATACAATAGCCATTGGTGCTGTCCAACAAATATTTTTATTTTTCTTCTTCTATATGGGGCACCAGTACATTGCCCCACCTGCCCTGAGGTATGGTTACATGACTTACTTTTGCCAGTGAAATGTTGATACAAGGCACATGTATAATTTCCAGATAGGAAGCTTTAAGACTTCAAGCATCATGAGTCATGTTCTCTTTCTGTCTCATCTAGTGACTGTCATTGACAGCCTTGACACTCTGGGTACCTCAGCAAGAAAGGTGCTGAGCTCCCAGCCAACCCACAATGCATGTAGAACATGAGAGAGAAATAAACCTTTTACCCTGTAGGTCATTAAGCCAGGTTATTACTGTGACATAAGTCGGCCTAGACTGAGAAATAAAGTGGATTTTCAACCATTATCGTCAAAATTCCATGTTCTCTTATAGTGCTTGAATATTTCAGAAAAAAATGCCTTTATACACCCTTTCTTTTAAAAAAATCCTTACAAAAGTTAATTAAGGGCAACAAAAAAGAAGATGACAGGAGGAGGGTACTTGCATGTTACTATAATAATTCTATCTTCTGCAATTTCTCACAATGTAGTTTAGAATAACACAGTGCTTTACAGAAATAAAGGATGTTGATAATCTGAGAGATTGAGAGAATAACTTCCTAAAAATTTCTTCTTGCAAAATAAAATAAGCAATAAGCCTATTTGCCATCCAAACTCTTTAATTTCTGAGGATTTTAATAGACGAATATCAGCTTCCCAAAAAGGGAATAAAGAATATCTAACACACAGAACTGCTCTTTCTCCCATGGTGCCTCCAATGGGCAATGGGAACAACTATGAACAACCACTCACAACCTTTGGAAAGCTCTCATCTCCCAGGCAAAAAGTCAAAGGTGAAAGGCAATGGGTTGAATCATGGCCAACTATCTATGGAAAATATACAAGAAAAAAATGGCCCACAATGGACCTGACCTCTGACCATTTGCTGAAACTCTGACTAGCAGAATTCTGAACATGTGTAACAGAAATCAGGAAAGATTTTCTTTTCAGCACTAATCTCATTGGGAAACTATAAACAAATCAAGACCTTATGATTTGTACAGTGGATCTGGTTATCTTAAAAAAAAAAAAAAAACAACTTCTCCTTCCTATGACTCTCACAAGATTGTTCTTTACCTTGTCAATAATATCTCGAGGCAATTGGTCCCAAACCAATTTGTTTGAAATCTAGCTAGACAGTCATTACAATATAACTGAATGAACCATAACATGGTAATAGGAAATTTTATGATGTTCAAATATTGCTGCAACATATAGATCGAAGGTAAATTCTACTCAATTGCTAAAATGGGTAAAGAAATCTAATGCACTCAATCGTGGCCCACTTATTTAGGGAGAGTGGCAAGATTGTGAGCTAGTCAAGCTCTCAGCACATGGTATAAGGATTGGGAGGAAGTTGGGGCTGTCTAATCAGCATTCACTATCTGGCTCAAGCACTTTTTGAGTTGTAAATCACTATATAAAATTTGTAGTTGTTACCATTCTTGTACAATAATTATCTGGAATCTCAACTGTGAGAAATGGGAAACTAGGTTTG